GGCTCCGATCTCTCAGGCGACCTGCCTTCTGCCTCTCCCGACTTCGGCTGCGCGTGAGGAGCGGGAGGCCGAGGCTGCCGGCCCGCGGTCCTCGGAGGGGACGAGGTCGAAGCCCACGGGCACGGCAGCCGAGGGCGGCGGCCTTCGGCGGGCAGCCAAGGAATCCAGGGCACGCCCGGTCCTGGTGAGGCCCGGTGTGTGGCGCCCCCCGTGCGTTAGGACTCAACACCAGGGGTGAGGGGCAACGTTATGTAGGACGGGGGGGCTGGCTCAAGGGGGGGGCACATCGACCTGGACTCGGCGATACGTCGCCCACAGATTGGCGGTAGGCCCCCGATGGCGGATCCGCACGCTCCTGGGCGGGGTGGGGCAAGCCCATATCGACGATGAACGGGCAAGTGGGGGTCGATGCGTTCCCCCCTGGGCCTATCCCACCCAACAATGCCGCTGATGGGAGATCTCTGCAACGCAAGATGACGATTGATAAAACAGTTTGGAGGGAGGGACGGTTCAAATAAAAGTTTGAGATTCTTGTTGGCAGATTTAGTATCGTCCATCTCCTATTGCAGCACATTGTAACCAACTGCAGATCCTGTCCGCTCGTCGTTACAATTGCATCCCATTGCTGCTGACCGTATGGCCCGTCGGCCGTCCGGGCGCGCCCCCGAGGGCCGGTGGGAGGCGATTAAAAAAGAAGTTTACCAAACCAGGGCCGGTTTTCTAGTCATCATCCCGGGCGCCGCCGCGTGAGCACGACCACCAGTAATGTCTGAATCGTCATTCGACATCCTGCACTCAGACCGATGAAACACTGGCTGTTAACCCTGAGTAAGGGGCTATTGAGCAGGATGAAGCCGGATTATCAGTACTGATCAAGCGCGGATTTGCCAGACTAGACTTATCGACCACGGATACGCCAGCGACGGTGCTGAGTTAAACCCCCCTGGAGTTGTATCCTATCATGCGTGATCCAAGAAATCAATGTGACCGGATCTGAAGAGAAGGTCGCTACTTCTGGGGACCCCGTGATTACAAAAAACACGACGGCGGATGTCTGGGGATGGTCCAGTGTTGCTCCTGTGTCACGAGAATGCTTGGCACGGGCAAGAGCTTACCCGAGACAGAAGCTGAGCGAAATGGTGCCACCTGGAAAAAAACCTGGCACGCAAACGGGAGGGCTCGAGTCAGCAGTTCACAGTTCACAGGAACCCATCTTTTATTCCCTGGCGATAACGGGCGTGACCATGGGGCAGTGAGGCGTGGGGACGATGCCGGTAACGCCACGATTCGCGCTGGTGTCGTTTGAGAGCTTTGAGAACTGTTAATTCCCAAACGGCGCCGGTACGAACCGTGACGAGGCGAAGGGGAGGAAGGGTGAGTGGCCCGGTTGTTAAACGGTCGTTGGCGCGAACAAAAATAAAACATACCCCAGACATCCGACGTTGTAATCTGCCCCAGCCGTGGTATCCCAGGAAGTCCGCACCCTTTCCCGTGGGCTCCTTTGTCATCCCGGGCCGTCTTGTGGCCCGGGGCCTGACAGGGGGGCCCCTGGAAGAAGAAAGCAAACCATGCACTGCCCGTCCGCCGTGACTTTTTCACGACGCGAGGATGTCCCGCTTTCGGGCGACCGACCGAGACGATTCGGGCACGCCCATAAGAGTGCCCTCGGCGGGGCACAGCCGCTGGAAAGCATCCCAAGGCCCAAGGCGAGAACCCCGAAGACTCAGCTGACCTCACCGTGTCCTGCCCCAGCCCCGCAAACCCCAGACGTCACGATCTTTTCACGACGGCGACCCTCAGAGATCTCGGCCCATTCCCCGGGACCGGCTTTTCATCTGGAGTCGCTGTTTGACGGGCCCGTGGCCCCGCGAGGCACCCAGAGGCCGTACCTGGCAGCACCGTGCGGCGCCGTTTCTCCCCAACCGCGAATGCGCAAGAGGGCCCAGATCGCTCGGGGCTCTGGGCCTCTGGTCAGCGGCCGCGCCGCGCGCGGCGACGACGTGCGCCGCCAGGCCCCGCACGCGCTGCGCGGCGGCCGCGCCGCCGCCGCCGCGCGCTGGAGGCGCCATGGCGGCCGCGCGGGCGCCCCGCCAGTACGCGCGCATGCCACGCCCCGCCCTTGAGCCCCCTCCCCGCGCGGTGCCCGGCGGCGCCGCGGTCCGACGACGGCGGCGGCGACGTCGACGGCGTCCGCCACGACGGCGATGGCGATGGCGACGGCAACGACGACGACGGCCATGACGACAACGATGACGATGATGGCGACGGCGACGACGGACGGCGACGGCGACGGCGACGGCGACGACGACCACGACGTCCACGAACACCACAACGGCCACGACGACCACGACGTCGACGTCGACGACGATGCCGACGACGACGACGACGATGGCAACGTCGACGTCGGTGTCGCCGGCGACAACGACGACGACGCCTGCCCGCCCCGACCGCACGCCCGCCCATCCGCATGCGCGCCTCAACCCCGTGCTTTTAGCCCCCCTGCGCGGTGGCCGGAGGCGGCGCGGTCCGACGACGATGGCGACGAAGAACGGCGATGACGATGACGACGGCAAATACGACAACTGCGATGAGGACCACGATGGCGACGGCGACAACAGACAACAACGACAACGACAAGGACACCATCATCATCCTCATCCTCATCCTCATCCTCATCCTCCTCCTCCTCCTCCTCCTCCTCATCATCCTCATCATCACCATCACCATCATCATCATCATCATCATCATCATCATCATCATCATCATCATCATCATCATCATCATCATCATCATGAGCATCATCATTGTCATCATCTGCACCATTTCCAGCATCTTCGTCATCATCATGACCACCAGCATCATCATAATCACAATCACCATCATCAACATCACCACCATCATCTTCACCATCGGGGCTCCAGGGCACTGCGCGTTCAAGGTCGGCCCGACACTGGAAAATATGCATGAAGAGAAATCCCAGGACAGGACTCCAAGACTGGTAAAAATCGCCAGGACAGGGAGGCGATCCAAAGAATGTCCCGCGACCCCAAGAAAACCAAGACGCGTCCAACTAACAACTGGCAGGAAAGAGAGGCAGATCCAGAACAAGGGCGTGCAGAAATGCACAAGGACGAGCCTCACGGGGAAAAAGGCCAAACCACCCAGCCCAGGTGGGATCCAACGCTGCCGCGACCGAAAACGCTACGTTTGAAGGATCGCTACCGTCTCCACAGTGGGAAGCCCGAAATCCAGACGAGCATCCGAGGAGGTACAGCAATGACGAGCCTTTCGTCCAAGAGCTAGGGGAGGAGAAGAGGTAACATTAGAGGCGAGCTTCAATCAAGCGGGGCGCGGCATAGTTTCACAGCGAATGCGGACGCCGTCCCCTCGTCGTTCAGTCGAATCGTTGCGAAAGTTGGCGATCACGAGCTTGCGGCAAAGGCCACGCAGTGGAGTCGATCTCGGCCCATGTGTTGCCCGCGTCTACGATGTCGCGCTCGACGACGTTGTGGTCGTGTGCGCTTATGTTGGCGTTTTGCGGCGGCCTTGTCTATCAAGAGGGGCGCCGATTCCCTCAAGCCCTGCAGGACCTCGGAACAGCAAGCGTCCTCCGCGCGCAAACCCAGCAGGACATCCTCCGCGGAATCGAGCACTGCAGGGCGGAGAGCAGCCATTCGAGTCTGGGTGAAGATCTGCGTGCTGTGCCTTCGTGCGTTCAGATTCGGGTACCGCATGAGCTGGGGCTTGCAGGCGCACGGCGTTCCCCAGCGCCACTGCAACAGGTTAGCCTGCAACCGGTGTTACGGGCTCAAGATCAAGTCCACATTGAAAGTACCACAGCTTCCTCGACCCAGGAACTTGAGGGCCATCTAGCTCTCCGACGGCAGAGAAAGAAGAGGCGAGGCCGTACTGGTTGGAAAACCCGAGGCAGTGGATTGCCGAAGACGGGTCCACGAACTCGATAAAGACGATGTCGCTGAGCAGGGGCGCGGGTTTCTTCTTGTCGTGAGGAAATCCACGCGCACGAGAAAACGAGCACAGCACGCTTCGAACTGCATGTGCAGCAACAACTTGCAACACCATTTGCACAAAGTCCATACCTGTCGCTGGGGCGCAACCCCAGACCATCATCGTGGAGCGATTATCTGCCTCGAGGTCGGCGCGTTGGATGTCTTCGTGGGCTCCTGGAGGCTCTCTCCAGCCAAGGGGGGGCACTCCTGCAGCTGCGCCTCGCCGCGGGCGTTCCGACGAGGTTCCCGGATCGCCCAGGTTGGCCGCCAGAGGCCCGACAGCCAGACGCCCTCGCGTGCTGAAGCAGTCACGACGGGCAGCTGCTCTGTCAGTTGTCGGCCTCTGGGGTGGCCTTTTTGGATCCCGCGGGGCCGTCAAGAGCACGACCCAACGTCGGTCCACGGGGAGGGGTCCCGATCCGAAAGAGCGTGTTCTACCGCTGCTGGCGGAAAACCGGGGGGGGTCACTACCGGTTCGAACCCCTCCCCCCCCCCCAGTTCATCATGAAAAGGGGGTCCCTCGAAAACCGGGGGAGGGGTCCAGATCTTCAGAGGCCTACGGAAGAGGATCACGACGCCCGGGGGTCTGGGGGTGGCGGAGTCGGAACGAATCGGCCACGCCAAGCTTCACGGCAGCGCCGTGCAAACCTCGGGCCAGGTCGGATCTCCGGATTGTCGGGATCGGACTGGACCAGGCCCGCCGAGATCGGCATCGAGCCTCGGGTCGCTGGAGCCTCGGAACCGAATCGGAGGGACACTGGTGAGGTCGAGGGCGCCGGCCCAGGGAAGCAGAAGGAGGGCCTGCATCTGCACGGCTGCACGGGATGCAGGAGGGCATGCCAGTAGTGTGTGTGTGTGAGTGTGTGTGTGTGCCCATGTCGGAGGCGAACGTCCGAACCGAACGTACTGCATCAGCACCTTACAATCCATCGGTGCCCAGGCAGTATGGTTAGGTCGGGCATGTCCTCCTGCAGGCGGATTATGGACGAAAAACAAAGAAGCTGTCGAAACAGATTCAACAACAGGTAAACAAAATCATCAAACATTCGTCCCCAGACTCTCTTTGGACTGCTTTGGCACACTCCTCCTGCGGAGGGACAGGCCCGACTTGACAGCATGGCCGAGCATGCGCTGCAGAACGACCGAGCGCACGCGCCGCCCCCGGGGGGAGCCGACGCGCACACCTCGAATGTGCCGAGCATGTCTGGGTGATGCCGCCCGCAGGGGCGATCGGGGGAACGGGGGGGGGGGAAGCCGGAAGCCGGCTCTCACGGGGGGGGGGGACCTCGAGCTGAAGTCGGCGATCATCTCCTCATCGCCCGCAGGGGTGATGCCGACTGCAAAAGCGAAGGGGAACGGGAGCGGGGAAGCAGGCTCACGGGGGGGGACGACATCGAGCCAGAATCGGCGATCATCTCCTTCTCGCTAGCAGATCGGCGATGGGCCCCCGACAGCGAGTCCGCACGCTCCTCGGCGGGGTGGGCCATGGGGCCCCCCCCCTTCGTGCTGCCCCCGATGTGGGGCTGCAGGGGACGAGGCACCGACCACAGCTGCATCCACAGGAACCGCCGGAGGCCCGCGCGGAGTCCTCGGCCATCTGCGCCTGGAGGGCCGCGCGGAAGGCGCCGCCCTCGTGGGAGGGGTCCCGCGCAGACCCGGGGAAATCCGCGCGGGCCTCCGGCAGCCTGCTCGTGCCGTTCTGCGTCTCCGAGAGGAGGCGGAGCGCGCCGCCCCGTGGGCCCCGAGGCGCGGCGCGGCGGGGCGCCATCCTCGTCGCACTCCCGGAAGGCCCGGGCGTAGGCCTCCTCCGCGGCGCCGCGGGGGGGGGCGGTCGCTGGCGCTGCCCCCCCCAAAAAGGGGCCCAGCAGCCCAGCGCAGAGATCCCGGGCGTCCTCGCGCCGCGGAAGGCCACGGCGGGACGTCTGTCGGGCGTTTGGTACGGAGGGGGGGGGGGGGTCTGACCTTCCAGAGGGCTACACGACGGCCCTCCAGTCCCACAGGCCCACAGGGAGTGCTTGAAACCTCGACAGGACATGAGATGCCAAGGTGCTGGTGCTGTTCTTCGGTCCTCCTGGAAGGACAGGGGATTGGGGGGGCGATAACTGGAGGGAGGGGGCGAGTGCTAAAGGCCCCATTAGAGACCCAAAAATGCACGACAGGGGTGAGCAACGAACACAAAGGCGAGATGGCACAACGTCCTCACGCAGCAACTCTTACAGTCAACCCGTATACTAAAGATGCGCGGTCAGGATGTACACTCTGCGAGCGGGGCGCAGCCAGCGAAAGCGGCCAAATATGGGTCGAAAGGGGAAGGATGCAAGGGCAACCTTGGAAAATCGCTCATCCGTAATATGGCGGTTGGCTGTTGACCACCTTACGCGGCGGCTTACGCGGTTCGCCACATTGGAGACGAGGGCGCTTACGCGCGACCTCACGCGGGCAGCTTACGCGCCAGTGCTGGTGAAGTCGGCCCTGTTGCTTCGTGTCGCTCCGGTGCACATGTCGTCAACTCTCCTTATTGCCACCCATCTTTGCTCGAGTAACGCCAGCTGCGTCCACACAGCCATGCTGCTGTTTGCCGCTCCCCCGTTATGGTCACTCGCCAGCGCGTCGCAGCACTCGCGCGCTTCCCCGAAACTGCCGCAAGTTGGCGCCGTCTGTTTTGGTAGGTGGATCTCTCAAGCCCTCCGCCGCCTCTGGCGGTGCGCGTTGCGAGCAGGACCGCAGCAAAGCCACAGGCAAGCGCGGCATTGACAGCGTAGATCCGCACACGTGATAAACGTTCACCAGCAGCAACGCAGCAGAGCCCCAGGAGAGCGAGGCACTGACGGTGCAGCTCAACGTTGACGCGGTGGTGGCCGGGGAGCCCCCGCGACATGTTCAAAGGCGACGATCGGGGCGAATAGCCCAGGGGAGAGCAATACGTGTATCCAGGTGCGCCGACGATCTACGTCTTCGAAAAAGCCCCTGGGCGATTACGTGTAAGGCCCGCCCCTGGGCTGTTCGCCCCATTCGTCGACCCCGACATGTCCGCGAGCGTTGCTCCACCCCGGCGGGTGTGGACAGCGGACGCACCCGCCACTGTGTGGCCCTCGGCCCGCGCGCCTCTCGTGCAGCATGGCGCCCGAGCTCGTGCGGGGCGCGCTCCGGCCTCCCACCGCTCCCTCTGCCAGGCCTCCGGGGGCCACCGCCAGAGGAGGAGGAGGAGGAGGAGGAGGAGGAGGAGGAGGAGGAGGAGGAGGAGAGGAGGAAGGGGGGGGAGGAGGAGGAGGAGGAGGAGGAGGAGGAGAGGAGGAGGAGGAGGAGGAGGAGGAGGAGGAGGAGGAGGAGGGGGGCGAGGAGGAGGGGGAGGAGAGGAGGAGGAGGAGGAGGAGGGGGGGAGGAGGAGGGGGAGGAGGAGGGGGGAGGAGGAGGAGGAGAAGGAGGAGGAGGAGGGGGGGAGGAGGAGGGGGAGGGGGGGGAGGGGAGGAGGAGGGAGGAGGGGGGGGAGGAGGAGGGGAGGAGGAGGAGGAGGAGGAGGAGGGAAAGGGCCCAGACCTCAGGGGGACTCACGCCGGCAAAAGGATCGACGTCGGATGTCTGGGAACCGCGGGGGCTCAGTGCCCCAGCCTGACAGGGCGCCTAGGTCCACTTCTTGCGCCAAGCGGAGGGCAGCGACGCGGCAACCCGACTTCGGCCTCAAAAGGGGAAGCCGCGGCCGCGCGGAACATGCTCTGGCCCTCGCGAGACGACACCTTCCGCACGCCTGCTCCTCGCCGTCGCCCAGAACATCAGCAACAGTGCACAAGGACAGCTCTCGGAGGCCCGCGCAGATGCCTCGTGTCGGCAACGTGCCCCCCTCCCCAGGACCCCTCGCTGGCGCGCGGGACGCGCCCGGGGGCCGGTACGCTGCAGGGGCCGCCAAGCTGCGTGGGGGGACGGGGGCCACCTGCCCAAGACATCTGCGCTGACGTCTGAATGCGTCCGCTTGTCGTTCTTCGACTCTCGCTCACCGCGCTTTGTCGCCACCGTTATCGTCCACACATTCTATCCTATGTCGTGCTTTGTGGTTTCACGACGTGGCTCCCCAACATGTACGGGGGCCCTTCCCGGAGACTGGCTTTTCATCCTTACACGCCTCCGCAGGACCTGGCAAAAGCCGTAAGAAACCGCAAATTGCCCAAAACCCCAAAACCGTCCGTAGTGACTTTTCCTACGACGCGACGCGCAAATGTCAGGGACCATTGATGCCGTCCCTTCTGCCGCCAGCAGCGCTCCCTCCTGGGGAGGCCCAAGAACGTGGACGGTCGCCAGTCCTGCTGTCACGGCCGCCGGCGCCGCCATCGTCGTTGTCGCCGTCGCCGACGCCATTGCCATCGCCGTCGCCGTCGCCGTCGTCGTTGTCGTCGTCGTCGTTGTCGTCGTCGTCGTCGTCGTCGACGACTTCGTAGTTGACCTCATCGGCGTTGTCATGTTCCTTGACACTTGCTATAAGCCTGAACAGAAAGCGGCAGCTGGATGCTCCACGGGGACGCGCGAGAAAAATCGCTCCGCGGATGTGACTCAGAACGGATTCCACCACTCCTTTCCCTCCTCCACCCATCCTCCTTCCCCATCCCGCCTCGTCCGTCCCTCTCATCCACTCCCTCCTCTCCCCCATCCCGCTGGCTTTCCTCTGGCCCCTTTCCTCCTCCTCCTCCTCCTCCTTCTCCTCCTCCTTCTCCTCCTCCTCCTCCTCCTCCTCCTCCTCCTCCTCACCACCACCACCACCACCACCACCACCACCACCATCATCATCATCATCATCATCATCATCATCATCATCATCATCATCATCATCATCATCATCATCATCATTATCCCAGTGCGACCCTACCTAGGAATTGGAGCCCCTAGGAAAACAGCATTAGCAGTAACGGTAAAGCTAAGCTAAAGCTAAGCTAAAGCTAAGCTCCAAGCTAACGCTAAGCTAAAGCTAAGTTAAAGCTAAGCTACAGCTAAGCTAAAGCTAATATAAAGCTAAACTAAAGCTAAGCTAAAGGTAAACTAAAGCTAAGCTAAAGCTAAGCTAAAGCTAAGCTAAAGCTAAGCTAAAGCTAAAGCTAAGCCAAAGCTAGAGCTAAACCTAAGCTACAGTAAAGCTAAAGCTAAAGCTAAGCTAAAGCTAATCTAAAGCTAAACTAAAGCTAAGCTAAAGGTAAACTAAAGCTAAGCTAAAGCTAAGCTACAGCTAAGCTAATGCTAAGCTAAAGCTAAAGCTAAGCCAAAGCTAGAGCTAAACCTAAGCTACAGTAAAGCTAAAGCTAAAGCTAAGCTAAAGCTAAGCTAAAGCTAAGCTAAAGCTAAGCTAAAGCTAAAGCTACAGCTAAGCTAAAGCTAATGCTAAAGCTAAAGCTAAGGGGACGTAGCTGGGGGAACCGCGGGGCGGATCCTGGGGGAACCGCCCAGGGCGATTTACACTGCCCACCCCTTTAACCTGACAGAGCAAGAACCCTTCTAGGCAGAGCCTAGGTAGGGAATCATCATCATCATCATCATCATCATCATCATCATCATCATCATCATCATCATCAGCAGCATCAGCAGCAGCAGCATCAGCATCATCATCATCATCATCATCATCAGCATCAGCATCAGCATCAGCATCAGCATCAGCATCAGATCGCATCAGCATTCAGCATCAGCATCAGCATCATCATCATCATCATCATCATCATCATCATCATCATCATCATCATCATCATCATCATCATCATCATCATCATCATCATCATCATCATCATCATCATCATCATCATCATCATCATCATCATCATCATCATCATCATCATCATCATCATCATCATCATTATTGTCATCACCACCATCATGTTCCTCTTCCTCCTCCATCCATCCCTCCCGCCCCCCCCTCTCTTTTCCTCTCCAGGCTATTACCCCCCTCCCTCACCTCTACCTCCCTGCTCCCTCCTCCTGCCCCCCATTCCCCAACCTCTCCCCTCCTTCAGCCGGTTCCAATAGAGGTCGACAAATACCATGAACTCGTTGAAGTCGAGAGTGGAATACTGCGTAATGCCCTGGACGACCTCGTCGATCCACTCTTGGTTCGTGTGCCTGACTGTCTGGGCAAGAAAGAAGAACAAAGAACGGGAAGAGGAAAGGGAGGGAGGATGGGGAGGAACGGCAGAGGGAGGGGAAAAAGTCTGAGGTCCGAGAAGGAGGAGGAGTAGACGCAAGAGGCGAGGACAGGCGGCGGGGAACGAGGGAGAGATCAAGCTACGCGCCTGCATGGTCAGGCTTCAGGAGGAGGGGCGAGGCAGAAGACGAGGGGGAGGCGGAAGGAAGTGAGGCCAGCCATGCCCCTACCCTGAGATCCGACTGCGCGAAAAGATGAAGGCACCGTGAAACATCACGACCAGCGCCCTGGATCCCGTTTTTCTGAGCCAGTTGCCGAGCCAGATAGCTCTGCGAGGGTCCAGGGGCCCCGAAGCCTGGGCGACAGCGCCCGGCGCGAAAAAAATGCAGTGCCAGGATCTCTGGGTACTCCCCCCCCCCATGCGCAGCAGCTGCAGTCCACCCCCCCCCCTCCCCCCGCCGGCCATCGCTCGGACGTCAGTTCCCCGCGCAAGTCTTGGCCTCGTGCGCGGTTGTTGGCCCGATGATCCAGGATGATGGGCGTGTTTTCCACCACCACCACCATAAGTTGGAGGGGGAAGGAGGAGGAGGACGAGGAGGAGGAGGACGAGGAGGAGGAGGAGGAGGAGGACCCCCTCCCCCTCCAACTTATGGTGGTGGTGGTGGAAAACAGGCCGATCACAGGATGCTCCTTGATGGTCCCCGCCGACAGAAAAGTGCCGAGAGCCCGCCCAGGCCCCCAGGCGGGCAGGCGCGGCAGGCGCTTTCCTCGCCGACGGGGCTGCGCTGCGCGCCTCGCCGCGCTCCGTGCGTCCGAGCCTGGCCCCTCGGCTCGTCCCGAGACTGCCCCCGGTGGGACCACAGGCCACATCACACCAGATCCTCCTCCTCCTCCTCCTCTTCCTCCTCCTCCTCCTCCACTTCATCGTCTCTTCCCCGCCTCCCCCCTCCTGGTCGTCGTCGTCGTCGTCGTCGTCGTCGTCGTGGGCGTCGTCGTCGTCGTCGTCGTCGTCGTCGTCGTCGTCGTCGTCGTCGTCGTCGGCCGTCGTCGTCGTCGACGTCGTCGTCGATGGGGGCTGGCTCTGGGTGGCGTCATGCTGCCCAGCCTTGCGGGACCAGAACACGGCATAAACGTGAAACTCCAAAGGCCTGCGCGGATTTCTTGGATCTGCGCTGAACCTCCCTACCAGGCGCCGGAGGCGCCGGCATGGGGGCCCAGCCCAACGCAGATCCAAGGAATCCGCGCGGACATACGAAAGCTTATGTTTACGGCTGGCGTCGCAAATTGCAAAGACACCGTGCAACATCGATATCCGAAATGCACGCTATCCCTGTGAGGCGATCCCCCCGCGAGGGCCCCTTCTGCGCACGCTATCCCCCTGCGAGAGTCGGGGCTACGCAAAAGTGGATTAGCGATCCGTGGATTTGGCGCGCGGTCGTCAAATCCATGGACCGGGGGAGGTGCCCTCTGCCCAAATGCGGCCCGTGCCGCCTCGTTCGGCGGCGGAAAACCGCGATTTCCCATGGAAACGGAAACCGTCGCTAATCCACGCCCCCTTGATCCATGTTCGCGATCGCCTGATTCTGCGCACGCTATCCCGCTGCGAGAGTCTCGTCGGTGCACGGTACCCCCCTGTCAGGGCTTCCCCGGTGCCCGCTGTCCCCAAAAACTGGGGATAGCGCGTAGAATGCGCGAGCCGGACCGCAGCCTCTCGGATCAAGCCTGCTGGCTCAAGCCACCTCGGCTCGAGCACGTCCCTGGCTCAGGCTCACGGCTCACGAGGGGCCGGGGGGGGAAGGGGAGATGCTTCGACTCAGCGATGTGCCTTCTTGCGCTCGCGGTGATCAGTTAGCACTCTTGCGCTCTCTTGCCTTCCGCGATGACTTCTTTTCGGGAAATCGCTTCACCCCTGCAGAAGGGGGTGGGTGGCGGGGGAGCGGCGCGCGCCCGGGGAGCGCGCTCAGCCGCCCGCCGGGGCGCGCGCGCAGCCCCCGGCCGGCGGGGGTGCGCGGGCCGCACCCGCCCAGCACGAGGCAGCCCGCCGGCGGGGAGAGGCTCGCGCAGGCCTGGGGCAGTTTTAAGTCGGACGTGTCCCCCTACAGGGGGATTTTCGACGAAAAATAAAAAAATACGTCACCAAAAACTCCAAAATGGTCAACACATACTCAAAAAATAGTCCCCAGACAATTTGTGGACTATTTTTGAATTTCCCCCCTGTAGAGGGACAAACCCGACTTAAGGGTAGTTCGGCCACGAGGCGGGCCGCAGCAGCGGCGAAGCCCCTGCGGCGCACGATGGGTGGGCGCCCGGCTCGCGAAAGAAGCTCGGCGGGAGGGGGCAATGAGCCATGAACACTGCGCGGGGAGTTCAAGTCAGTTGCCAAAGCCTCACGCAACAAAGCTGCACCAAAACTCTGCGCAGCCCAGCTTGGGGAAGCGGGTTAACCTGAAGCCTGAAGGGAGTGGGGTGGCCCCCACTGACAAGACCAGCAGCGCCCCCGAACGGTAGCGCGGCATGAGGAGGGGGAGGAGGTCCAGACCGAGGAATGGCCTGGGCGCACCTATAGTGGCCTGATGCCCACGGTTGGCGCCAGCCCGGGCGGGGGCAGACAGGTTCTGCCGCCCTGCGGACAACTGGAGCTGACTAACAGACCGCGAAAGGGGGGAGGAAAGGAAGAGGGGAGGAAATGATGCGTAGCGCGCGACGCCAGTCAGTGCGGCGAGCTGGACTGCAGCCGTCGATCCCCAGAAAGTTGGAAGGCAGCGGAAGCAGGGAGAACACCTTGGTGCCGCGGCTGACGAGGACTGAGGTTGGAGTACCATGTGAGAACTGCTCTAGGACACGAACATACCGCAGACGGGTGTACCCTTTCTCCGACCTGCTGCGCTGAAAGAAGCGGCCGAGGTTGACTATAGACGCATCAAGCCCGCATGTAGATATACACGTATGTGCAACGATATCCGATGCGTCTATAGACGCTGGCGGATAGAAAGTGGAAACGGCATCTGGCAGCGGCCCCAGATATTTGCTTTCTGGAAGCAGGCAGCCTCTGCCCTCAAAGACAAAGAGGCAAACCACCGCCATGTTGCTGTGCTGTGCTCGTGGCTCTGGTTCGTAGTGCACGTGCAGCCACCTGTCCTGCCCCTACACCTCGGCTGAGGGCCCGAGGTGGCGGGGGGGGTCATTAGGGGAAATGTGAACAGAGAGAACTGCAGCATAGAGAGAAGCAGCAGAAGCACTCTGGACCTGGGGGAGGGGGGAAGCGCCGGTCCAAAATAACGGCGGTGGTCAACCGCCCTGTTGGAAACCCGCAAGGCCGCCCCCCCGCCCGTTCGCCCAGCGATCCGGGGGGCGCGCGGGTCCGCGCGAGAGCCCTGGTCGCGGGGCGGAGCTTTAGCTCGCCAGTCCCTCCCCTCCCCACGATGGGCAAAGACGCGGCGAATGATGATTATGATGACGATGATGATGATGACGATGATGGTGATGATGATGACGATATTGATGATGTTGATGATGACGATGGTGATGATGATGATGATGATGATGATGATGATGATGATGATGATGATGACAATGATGATGACGATGATGATGAAGAAGATAATGATGATGAAGATGATGATGATGACGACGATGCTGATGATGGTAATGATGATGAAGATGTCGATGATGATGATGATGATGATGATGGTGATGATGATGACGATATTGATGATGTTGATGATGACGATGGTGATGATGATGATGATGATGATGATGCTGACGATGATGATGCTGATGATAATGATGATGATGATGATGATGATGATGATGACGATGATGATGATGATGATGCTGCTGCTGCTGCTGATGATGATGATGATGATGATGATGATGATGATGATGATGATGATGATGATGATGATGATGATGATGATACTCTCCGGTGCTGTGCTGCTGCGAGTGTCTGCTGCGCGTGTTTGCGCGGCGTGATACCAAAATGTTGGGAAATAAGCCGTGGCATGAAAAGAAGCGCCCGGACCTCTTCGCGGACTTCTTGGATCGGCCCTGGGCCCCCCTTTCATGCCGCGCGGAGCGCGCCAGCGGCGGCGCAGGAGTGTGTCGCCAGGGGCCTCCAGCGAGAAGTCCGCGCGGCGGCTCGAAAACATTTTGCGCTCATTCAATGGTTTTTTTGAACTTTGCATGTGAGCTTCCCAGCTGCAGCGGCCAGCACGTGCCTGAGTGCTGGGATGGCTATTGGCCTGCCTCCTGCGCCCTCGTTCTGCCTGGTTTCTCGCCCCACCCCGCGACTCCGCCGTTGCCGCCGCTACTGCGCCTCGTCTTGCCCCCCGCACTGTAGGCACTGGCCTTTCGTCCCATCCTTGCCCTGCCCCGCGCCTCTCCCGCCCTGGACCCCTGCCCTGGACTTGCGCATGGCACGGTCGACCCCCTCCGGGTGGATCCCTGCCCCGGCCAGCAAACCGCGTCTCCCGCTTCCCGCTTCCGACCGACTTTCTGCCCCAGGCTGCGACATCCGAACCCCCGATTCTCTCGAGTCGAGCGAGAGAAGTGGTAGGGTTCGTAGGGTTCGGAACTCCGCCACGTGCTCAACAAATGCCGCACCCTACCCCCGCCGCCCATCGAGCTGCCTGAATCGTCGATCGGCGAGGGTTAGGGTTCGGATTTCGCCGCAGATGCGCATCGAAGCTGCGCGCGTTGCCGCGACGGCTGGAGTGAGGAGGAAGAGGAGAAAGAGGAGGAGGACGAAGGATCTCAGAGATGTCTGACACTCCCCACGATGCCCCAAGTAGCAGGGATGCGGGGGGAGGCGCAATGGTTAGGTCGGGCATGTCCCGCTACAGGCGGATTTTGGACGCGAAAATCTTAAACTAGCCAGGGAAGATTCAAACATGGTCAGAAAATGCTAGACCGATCGTCCCCAGATGGTGCTTTACTATTCTGGAACATTCTCCCTGTAGAGGAACAGGCGAACAGGCCCGACTGAACGCAAGGGGGGACGGGCTCAGAGGGGGGGGGGTCGCAACATCGACCTGGAATCGGAGACCCATCGCTGACAGGTCGGCGGCAGGCCCCCGGCAGCGAAGCCACACAATCCTGAGCGGAGCGGGCAGCAGGACGTGGGCTCGAGGGTTTGCAGTCCCCAGACCCCCTCGGTCATGAACAAATCATGACGAAAGCTTGTCTTTAGTTTCGACCTCCGTGGGCCCTTGCTGGGCCTCGAGACCGTCAAACCTCTATTCAGGACGAGAGACCAGTCTCGGAGAATGGATCGAGACCTCTGGGGATCGCCGTTTTGCGAAAATCATGAGGTCGGGGATCTGGGCCAGCAAGATGGCGTTACCTGCAGCCAGCGTGCCATCATGAGGCATGCGGGGACTCTCCTGGCCACGGCACTCCTCAGCCACGAATAGGTTCCCCGGTCCGAACATGTCCTGGCTGTCGTCTGAGGGTTGATGCGAGCGCCCGCGCGAACTCCTCACGAATAGTGGACCGCCAACCTTGATGTTCGAACCGTCACCAAAAACACGGCGGCGAAGCCGAGCTCCGGCAAACTCGAGTCTCACGTGTCCCCGATGTTTCGAAAGGATTGGCCCGGCCGATATGGGTATTGACAAACATGGGTAAGATGCCGCCCAATAGCAAACGCTGTCCAAAATCTACAGCGGCCGCGGTTGGGCAGGTGCCTTTTTATCCCAAGTGGACAAATTTCGCGGCGATGCCGGCAGAGAGTCCTGCACAAAGTGGGCAGGAACTGCTGTCGGCCTTCGTCATCATACTTGCCGTACCGATTTCGACTTAACGAGATGACGCGCAGAATGTGTGGGAGGGTCAGCCCTGGCACAAGTTCATGAACGCCAGCGCGGGCTTCAAGGAGTCGCAATGGACCTCGCCGTCGTGCCTGAACCGGCCGAAGATGGAGGACAGGGACTCGTGCCGGCACTGCTCCCAATACTTCTGGACGAAAGCCTGGGGCTGGCACAGCAGGATATACCGCCATCGGCGCCGAACAAACAATTCTGGGCAAGGGAATAACATTCATGTGTAGATGTGCGCGTGCTATCACAGCCAACGTGAACGAGCATGTTGCTTAGCCGTGGTAACAACAACCCTACCTACTATGCGGATGACCAAAAACTGTGGGCCACGATGCAAGCTGTGAAACAATCGGGGCTGGGCACCAGGACCAGCACTACACATGCATTCTAGCTTCGCGCATTTCCACTCAATCCTGAGGGGGTGCAGACACAAAGCCAAAGGCTACGTGACGCCGCAGCGATGCTGACCCGCAATGAGCTAGACTCGTAAGCGGGGCCTCGAAACGAGAACGCAGTCACGATTCGCAGGACACTCCCGATGGGCGGGCACTGGTTGAGGGATAATCAGAGAGGAGGAAGGGGCACAAGCATTGCCAGCGCAGATGGATTAGAGAGAAAGACTGATCATCAAATCCAAGGCGGGCCACGAAGTCGCTGAACTCAAAACTGGCCAATGAGATGGTCTCGTAGATTTGGCCAATCCGCTCCTGGGGGTCGCCTTCGCCATGCTTCTAGCCATTCCCGATCTCCTCCCACATGCAGCTCTCCTCGCCTGCGCAACTACGACTACATCTGGCGTCAGCACTCCTCCTCCTCCTCCTCCTCCTCCTCCCTCATCCTGTCCCTCTTCGCGTTCTTATACTTTCTCCGGCCTGGAGATGGGGATCGGCTTCTTGCGGGATCTGGGGGGTCCTCAGCGGGAGGGGATGCTGAGGATGGGTAAGGAGGAGGAGGAGCAGCAGCCGCAGGATAGAGGGAAGGCACAAGGGAACGGATAGTAGAATGGAGGGGAAGAGAAAGGCAGGAGGAATCGAGTTGGACAGTAGTACCGTTGGGGCCACTTCGCATCAGCACGAAACTGCTGTGCCCTGGGCAGCAGGCCGGAGGATGAGACAGGTAGCAGGTGCATGAGCAGCAGAAGGAGGGATGGGGGGGCGGAGTGGGAGGGGGAAGGAGGAGGAGGAGGAGGAGGAGGAGGAGACATGATGTTCATCATTCTCTGAAGCAGAGTAGCAACAACACAACATAAGCAAACACTATGGGAGCTCCAAACGGATTTCTTGGATTGACTCTGCCCCCCTGGCGCGCAAGGGGGCCCAACGCTGATACAAGAGATCCGCGTGCACCCTGGAAAGGTTGCTAGTGCTGGCTCAATGAGCGGGCTCCTTAAGTAAGGCGAAAGCATTTGATGGGAAGCCATTGGATCAGGAATCCAGGGTCCAGAAGCTGGCGGAACTGCAATCGCGGATGGGGCATGGACCACTGCTGTCACCAGATAAGAAATCCCCCAGGGTATGAAGCCTCCTGGGCACATTTGGGGGAACGAAGAATGACATAAACATAAAAGCTCGGAAGTCCGCGCGGATTTCTCGGATCGGCGCCAGTGGCGGCGCCGGAGGCGCCGCCAGGGGGCCCCAGCGCCGATCCGAGAAATCCGTGCGGACCTCCGAGTTGTTTATGTTTATGTCGTTGTTCGTTCCCCTACCCCTGGGCACATTCCTGAACCAACGCCCCAACCAGAAGGGCAGGATGACAGCTGTGACCCTGCACGCTCGCGAGCCGAGCTGTGCGTCGACTGCTGCGTCGACAGGAACACTGAGAACTAGAACTGCAACCCCCTATCCCTCTCTGCCGCCACCACTTTGCCTACTCTTGCTCCTCCTCCTCCTCCTTCTCCTCCTCATCGTTCTACTTACTTGCATCATCGTCTCTGCCCCCTCTGGCTCCTCTGGTTCCAAAAAACGAAGCAGACTGCTCCGCAATTCGACCTCGTCCCTGACGAGGGATGAAGACTCAGGCTTTAACCCAGGGACCGCCAGTCAGGAGAAAACAAAAAAGGCCTGGCGCGGGTCGGGACACCTGGAGTTTAAGAACGCGCGGCCTCGGACAAGGGAGGAGGGAGGCCCCAAAGAACGCCCGACTGGGGCTCCCGACCTCCTCGGAGCCCGTCCGGGGCCCTCCCTGCGCGCCAGTCTGGCCGCGTCTCGGCCCTTTCTGGCCGGGGGGGGCGCAGGCCTCTGACAGAAGCAGGGCCTGTCGCCTTCCGTAGGCCCCGCAGGTCCTGCAAAAGGCGATGGTGTCCTAACCCTCCTTGCGTCCTCGCCTCCCCCGTGTCCTTCAGACCGCCCTTATCGATCTTGTGGTCATCCTCCCCCTCCTCACCCCTCGAGTGCCTCCAGATCAACACCGCCTTCAGACGCGTTCGTTCAGATCGACTGCTACATTTTCACGCTAGTCCTCCACGGCTCGCATGCCGAGGATACTCACCACCTCGCAGAGCGTGTCCTTGCTGACCTGTGCTAGAGATGCCCCCGACTCATGGCACAACTTCTTCCCCATCGTCATACATATCGAGAGGTGCATCAAACTGCATCAACATAATTTTCCTGCTCGGCGCTGGACCCCCTCCCCGGGCGCCAGAGGCGCCGCCAGGGGGTCCGGCGCCGACCCAAGACATCCCGCGGAGCTCCGAAAGCTTTATGCCGTTTTCTCGTCTTCGAGTCATGGCCGAGCGGCTTCCTCATCATTGTGCACAATAGCTTGGCTTCGTCCCGTCCACATCCCCACACTCTCCTCCATGACAGGATCTGGACCCACAAACGCTGCGTCCCACTTCTACATCTGCGGGCTTTTCCGCCAGCCATCCGCCCGCCTCCGCCAGCGTAGACGCCGCCGGTTTGCTTCCGCAGGCCTTACACCGAGGGAAATATGCGCCGAAGGCGGAGGCCGTTCCTGAGATCTGAGCGTTGCTCGGGAGCGGCCAAGAGGGGGGTGTCCAAGAGGGGGGGGTGCAAATCATGACAGGCGGCATGTGCGCGGCCCAGCGGGGGGGCCAGGGACGTAATTCGCCGGCCCAACGGGCCAGGGTGTGCTAAGATCTCCGGTACCTGGTTAACAGTATTTCTAGTTCGCGCGCGCGGGGCGGCCCCTGGGGGTCCCCGGGCGAAAAGTACCCCGGCAAGGTCCCGGCAAGTCCCCGGCAAGTCCCCGGCAAGGTCGGGTCAGAGATGCCGGAGTTCTGTTTCGGAGTCCAAGAGGGCTCCAGATCGGTCCAAGAGGGCCCCGAGAAGCTTTCTAGACGGTCCAAGAGAGGCCCGAGACGGCCAAAGATCGCCCGAAGACGCCCCAGATGGCCCCAAGACAGCCCAAGAGGCCTCCAAGACGCTCCAAGGGCCTTCCAAGAGGCCTCCGAAGAGGGCCCCAAGTTGCCAAAATCGTTGATTTTCATTGGTTTTTTCAATGTTTTTTTGCGTTCTGGCCTTTTCGCTTCCGGACGCTCCAAGAGGGCCCAAGAGGCCTTCAAGACTGCTCCAAGACGGCCCACGAGGCTCCCAAGACGGCCCCGGAGCGGCCCAAGAGCGCCCCCCAGACGGCCCAAGTGCTGCCCAAGGCGGACCAAGAGGCCCCAAGACGGGCCCAAGAGGGGCTCAAGAAGGGAACCGAGAACTGAAAAATCGAGCCCTCCGCCCCAGAAGGCGCCCAGGACCCCGAAAGAGGCCCCAAGAGACTCTCCAAGACACCCCCAAGACGCCCCAATAAGCTCCCGTGAGGCCCCAAGAGGACCAACAACGTCAGGCCCTAGGCCCCAAGAGGACCAACAAATACCGCCAAGAGCCCGCCGAAAGCCCCCCAAGAGACCGTCACGAGAGCTCAGGAGGCCCCCTGGAGGCCTCCCGAGTTCTCCAAGAGGCCTAAAAAGAGGCGCCAAGAGGCCCCAAACGGCCCCACCGAGGCTCCAAGAGGCCACGAACGCGCAAGCAAACGCCTGCGATGGCACAATACGGGCCGGCGGAATGAGCGAAGCGATTAAATAAAATGAGAAGAGGCGCCATGAAATCTGAGGAAATATTATTGCCCCCGCCATGATATCCACCCCCCCTACGCATCACCCCCCTCTTTCCCGCCCCCGAGTTGCAATTTTTGTCGTGCAGGGCGTTTTCGCCCAGTTTCGGGGCCCGGGACCATCACAGATCGATCCAAATCGGACACTCACCAGGAGGATCGGGTCCTGGGCTCTGGTCGTCATGCTTCACGGTGGTCCCTTTGTCTGGCGTCGGATCTCAAGGATTTCAGGAAAGCCCCAAAGGAGCGGCAAGGGGAGGGGGAACGTTATACAGGGCAATTTTTAACACATGAAATGTTTAAAAATATAGGAGTTTTAATCCATGACGAATGTATGACTAAACTTATGCATGAACTCATCTTTGGTTTTAATACTAAACCCTTGCATTTGCCATACATGATCCGCACGCGGGGCATGTATTAAAAACGGCACTGTAGGGGGGAACCAGCCCAGGGGTGAAACACCGAGGCGGAATCGACGATGCGTCGCCGACAGAGCGGCGACGCCCCGATGGCCAAGCTGCACTTCTCCCATGCGGCGTGGGCTCAGGCCCCTGTCGGCGACGAGTGGGCGATTGGGGGGCCGACGCATGTCTCTGAGCCAATCCCCGTGCCCAATGTTTTGCGGGCGACAGCTCGGGCAGCTGGAGGCCATTCGAGACGAGCTGGGCAACCCCAGACGGCCCTCGGCGAGGCGCAGCTAGTGGAGAGCATCCCGAGGCTGGAAGACCCCTGGGAACCTAACCACCCAACGCCCCCTGGAAATATCGACCCCTGCAATGATGGGGGGTGCATCTAATTACCCCTGGACCTCTCCTGGGGTGCGTTCTGACCAGAATCTCGAGGCGGATCCAGCCATGGCCACGAGGGCGCCCCAGGTCGGTCAGAGACGGCCAGGAAGCCAATCTCGAAGCTCGAAGGTCGATCCCCTGACGTTGCCCACGAATGGCGTCCAGGATGAGCACGCGGCCCTTCCGCGCACAGCTGGCGGGCGCCCCGCCTGCGAGGACAGCGGGCAACCACAACCACATCGAGAGCACACCCCGGGGGTGTCTTGCACATGCCAACACTCGTCAGAGCACCGAAGCCAGCTGAGCGACGATCAACAACAAAGGTGGCACAGCTCGGCGCCCTTCCGCGAGTGCTTGCGCGAGCCGCCAGCGCGGAACGCTTTATTGGAGACGAGGGCGCTTACGCGCGAGCTTACACGGGCAGCTTACGCGCCAATGCCGGCGCGAACGACACAGTTTTTGTTTGCGTCGCTCAGCTGAGTGCTGGTTCTGGTCGGTGTGGCGTCCAGGGACGGCCAAGTCGACCACAAACACAACTGGAGTGTTCATGTCGAGGTCGGTGGCTTCTTCCCCCAGAGGCCACCCCAAAAAATCACCCTGGTTGGTAGGCGGCGCGCCAAGGGGGGAAGGGAGAAGGGGCGGGCCTTCTCGGAAGGCTCGGAAGTGTCCTAAGCCTTCCCCGAAGACGCAACAACAACGTCTCAGAAGGCGCGAGGGTTTCAGAGGAGTCCCGCCGCCTTCCGAGGAGGCCCCCTCCTCCTCTTAAGTCGGGCCTGTCCCCCCCACAGGCGGGTTTAGGGTGAAAATTTTAAAATACTCGAAAAATACCCCCAAATAATCCATACAAATAATCAACAAATAATCCCCCTGAGTATTTTCTCACTATCTTTGAATATTCCTCCTGTCGAGGGACAGGCCCGACTTGATCCTCCTCGCTTCCCCCCCTCGCTCGCCGACGAGCTGTGGCTGTGGCCCCCTGCCGCGGCCGCCTCGCCCGCGCGACGCCAGCGCAGGTGCCGCCGGCACCCGGACCCGGCCCTCCCGCCGCCGCTCAAACAGCGGCGGCCCGCCCTGAGAGAGCGCCGGCCCGCCCAGAGCCGCGGAAAAGCGCGTCGCTGTATTGGGGACCCCACAAAAGACGTACGCTGGGCGATGTATATGAACGCGGCCCCTCGATCCGCGAGACTGGCCGCGAGATACGAAGGTTCGGGCAATGCGTACTCTCGAAGCCAGCGTGGATTCATGTACGTGTACGTCCTTCTTTCGCTCCTGATTCATGTGGGGTGGGTGGCAACGTTCGGGCGTTGGCAGAATCGTGGCTAGTGGGACCTGGTTCAGGGATGTGCACCTGGGGCACGCCCCCCCCCCGCCTCGTTCCACTGACCGGAGATGCTGTGACCAGAAAAAACACGGGAGGGCGTGCAGGGCGCGGCCGGGGGGCACGGCTGGACCGGGTCGCTGCCAACGGGGAAGAGGTGGTCGAAGATCACCCGCAGGGGTTTCCCCTCGGGAAGGGGGAGGGGGGGCAGGGGGGGGCAGGGAGGCGAGGGGGCCAGCGCGCGCGTGAGATCGCGAGATCCTCTTTCCTCCTCCTCCTCCTCCTCCTCCTCCTCCTCCTCCTCCTCCTCCTCCTCCTCCTCCTGCTCCTGCTCCTCGGGGGGGGGGGGAGGGGAGGCAGCTCCGCCATCACCCGCAGGGGTTTCGCCTCAAGGGGAGGGGGGGAGGGGGGGGCAGCTTGTGGACATCAGCGGGTAATGGTCCACGAACGGGTGCGAAGAATACGTCATCTCGTCATTCATGGATCCTCTTCCTGTGCCAGCTCTTCGATGCCCACTCCCTGCGCCGTGAGACGAAGGATTGCCGGGGCTCTGGAGGGAGGTCTGGGAGTAGTATTCTGACGAGTGTCGTCGATCGGGAGATGAAGCCTAAGCCTGAGGAAGTGGTCGAAGATCACCCGCAGGGGTTTCCCCTCGGCGGGGAAGAGGTGGTCGAAGATCACCCGCAGGGGTCTCCCCTCGGGAGGGGGAAGCAGGGGCAGGGAGGCGAGGGGGCCAGCGCGAGCGCGAGATCCTGTCCTACTCCTCCTCCTCCTCCTCCTCCTCCTCCTCCTCCTCTTGCTCCTGCTCCTCCTCCTCCTCCTCCTCCTCCTCCTCCTCCTGCTCCTCCTCCTTCTGCTCCTGCTCCTGCTCCTCCTCCTCGTCCTCCTCCTCCTCCTCCTCCTTTCTGGTCAACATTGAGAATCAACATTTCGATTTTCTGACCCCTCCTCAAACTGACCAGACGAGCTCACAGCATTTCCCAGGCGCATCTGGCATTATGAGCGGGGTCACGTTTAAACTTGTATGATCGTCCGACGTTCAGGTCTGGGAACAACTTACTGGATGTCCCCAGTTGGCAACGCATGCAATGCAAAACCCTCATAGAAAATCCTTGCACGCGTGGAGTTTGGTTACCGATTGGTCTGATCCAGCGCTGCCTCGGGCAGCCATCATCACAATCAGTGAATGCCACAGCTCCCAAAGCGCTGAACGCGCCAATATTCTCGGGTGTCGAAAAAGAAGCAGACATGCAAATACTGCACTCAGAATGAATGATCACATTGATGCCCTTGCACCGCCGACGTAAACAGATCGCAAAATGAATGGAAAATGCAATCCGCCATAGAGCATCGACGGCAGCCGGTATTCAAAATTTGAGCAGCACGGCGAGGATGCCCCATGGGACACAATTCCCTGACCGACATTTGACTTGAACCGGAATTTCTGGGGATGGGTCCGCTGGGTCATCTTGCTGCATCGTGGCGCCCACTTTGGCTTTCTTATGTTAGTGTGTCTGACTTGTCGGGGTGTCTAGCGCCGCTGTGAACTGCGACTGTCACCCCCCCCCTAGTTGGAGATCCTCTTCAACAGCAATCGAAAACCACAGCGGTGGTCAATTGACTTTCCACATGGCCCTTCTGGCTGTCTGCCAGCGCACGACAGCATTCAATGGCATATGAATGGAAGAATGACCAGCATCACCTCAGAATGAGCACAACTGCAGCCGAACCACGTTCGCAAGCGCACCTGCAGGAACCGGGCAGGGCAGGACTGCGCAGCAGATGCCAGTGACTGTTCGCCGAGGTGAGTGCCCCTCTGAAACACGGGAACCAACCCAATTGAGTTCTTTGTGGTGGGACCTCGTTTGACCGCCAACTGCCGCCACGCAGAGACAAACCTCGTTCATCCTGACTTGAACTTCCTCCCGAGGGACAGTTCTTCTGGCACTCCTCTGCAACCCTCGGGCCCCCAGCCCACGTATGTTGCCCCCCCCACCCCCCGTCGACGCCCGCGCTCTCAAAGTCGGCCCCAGGACTAAAACAGGGCTAGGATCGGGATAAATCGCTCCAGAGCGTTCCGGAGCGCTCTCGGAGCGTTCCGGAACGCTCTGGAGCGGCCGCGGCGCCCAATACGTCCTCCAAACCCGCCGATTCTCAGAGATTTCGAGTTATCCCGATCCGATTTTGTCCCGATCTTCGCGTCGTTTTAAGGACCCCTCCCAGAGGCCGTTCCTGACCCAATGCCGTTGCTCGAGGCGGCTCCGGCCGCAGCCGACTGAGGCGCCCCCGCTGCGGCCAGGGAGGGCCGCCGCTGTCTCGACTGGCCCCCCCCGAAAAGGGGGAGGACGAGGCACGACCAGTAGGCCAGAGCCCTGTGCGGCGGATAGAGCGCCGCGAGCCACAACAAAACAATACTCACTGCGTGGAGCTCCCCATATGTGCATCCTTTTTTAAAGGTAATATTGTATATGGGTCTACAGGAACACACGTAAAACACCAAGGACTCGTGCCCCAGGAGAGGCCCAATATATAGGAACAAAAGTAAAACAAGTAGGATTGCTTACACAGGAGAAGGACAATATATAGAAACATACGTAGAACATCAAAGAATCGTGCTCCAGGTGAGGCCCAATCGATAGGAGCATACGTAAAACACATGGGATTGGAGCCACTCCTGTTGCCTTCTGAGGCCTCCTGCTCCTGGGGCCTCTCGGGGCCTCCTGTTGCCTTCCGAGGCCTCCTGGCACTTCCTGTTGCCTCCTGGGGCCACCTGTGGTTTCCGGAGGCCTTCTGGAGCTTCCTGGGGCCTCCTGGAGCCTCTTGGGACATCCTGTGGCCTCTTGAATCTTTCTGTGGCCTCCTGATGCCTCCTGGGACCTCATGTGGTCTCCTGGGGCCTCCTGGAGCCTGTTGGAGCCTCCTGTGGCATCCTGAGAAGAATCTGCGCCCACGAGCCTGGCCACCAAAACAAGCAAACCGATCGAGACATCCTCAAAATCTGGCCCACCTGGGGGGTGAAAATGAGCGCCTCGCTCGAGACATCCTCCAAATCTGCTCCGAAAGCGAAGGATGTTGAGCCCAGAAACAAGCAAACCGCCTGAGACATCCCCACAAAATGGCCGCGAACGAGCCCGTGCAACCACCCCTGGCGGCTCCCCCTAGGGCCACGAGCCTGGCCACCAAAACAAGCAAACCGATCGAGACATCCTCAAAATCTGGCCCACCTGGGGGTGAAAATGAGCGCCTCGCTCGAGACATCCTCCAAATCTGCTCCGAAAGCGAAGGATGTTGGGCCCAGAAACAAGCAAACCGCCTGAGACATCCCCACAAAATGGCCGCGAACGAGCCCGTGCAACCACCCCTGGCGGCTCCCCTTAGGGCCACGAGCCTGGCCACCAAAACAAGCAAACCGATCGAGACATCCTCAAAATCTGGCCCACCTGGGGGGTGAAAATGAGCGCCTCGCTCGAGACATCCTCCAAATCTGCTCCGAAAGCGAAGGATGTTGAGCCCAGAAACAAGCAAACCGCCTGAGACATCCCCACAAAATGGCCGCGAACGAGCCCGTGCAAACACCCCTGGCGGCTCCCCTTAGGGGTGCTGAAACCAGCGCCCCGCCTGAGACATCCTCACAATCTGCTCTCCAAGCGAAGGATGTTGAGCCCAGAAACAAGCAAACCGCCTGAGACATCCCCACAAAATGGCCGCGAACGAGCCCGTGCAAACACCCCTGGCGGCTCCCCTTAGGGGTGCTGAAACCAGCGCCCCGCTTGAGACATCCTCCAAATCTGATGTGTGTTGAGTAAGTCTGAGTATGAGTAGGTCTGAGTATGAGTATGCCTGAGTATGAGTAAGTCTGTGTATGAGTAAATCTGTGTATGAGTAAGTCTGGGTATGAGTAGGTCTGTGTATGAGAAAGTTCTGAGTATGAGTAAGTCTGAGTATGAGTAAGTCTGAGTATGAGGAGGGGAGGAGGAAAGAGGAGGAAGGAGGAGGAGTAGGAGGCGTCCAAGTAATAACAAGAACCCCATCTTAGGACATGGGGAACAAAAACAACACAACAAAAACACAACACATCTGGAGTACCTGATGGACAAAGCACGAAGGTACGCCCCAACCTGCGGCAGGAGCCTACAGGCCACTGTGGCTGGGGACCGCAGCCCGCCCCGTGGTTCCGGGCAGGCCGCGCGGTCAGGGCGGAAGGGGGCGAAGGGGGGAGAAGCAGGCAGACGACGACGAACGCCCAGGCGGGAGGCCAGGGCCGGCGGGGCGGGCGGGCCAGTAGGCCGGGCATGTCCCCCTACAGGCGGATTCAGGACGAATAGTAAAAATATCATAACCATATTTAAAAAATGCGCAAGACTGATCAACACATGGTCCCCCTACTATCCTCTCTTTGGCTATATTTGCACATCCCCCCTGTAGAGGGACACGCCCGATCTGAGGCACGCCCATGAGCATCCACGCTGCCTTTCACGAGGGCATCCGCCCCGCTCTTTTCCAGCCCGACCTCGACCTGCTCTCGTGATCCAGCGCTGCACAAGCATCGCCACTCTCCCAGGAACGCTAGACATCGGGTCAGGTCGGGCGTGTTCCCCTAGAGGCGGATTATGGACGACAAATAAACAATATAAAAACAAACTATAACACATACCACACAAAAAAAACTCAAAACAAAACGTCCCAATACTATGTTATATCATTTTGGAAGGTTCATCCTGTAGAGGGACACGCCCGACTTGAACATAGGGAAGCCAACAATGGTATAGGTCCGTGCGGATTTCTCGGACCCGCACTGGACCCCTCTCCCTAGCGCGCGGAGCGCGCCAGGGGCGGCGTCGGAGGCGCCGCCAAGGGGCTCCAGAGCGGATCCGAGGAATCCGCGGGGACCTCCGAGTTATCATGTTTGTGCCATTATGCGTTCCCCTAAGACAGGTTGACAGACAGGCGGAGCACGACCGAGGAGGAGAAGCAGGAGCACGCGAGGAACGAGACGAAGCCGCCCCCCCCGGTCCTCCAGCACTGGGCTCGGCAGCTCGGGAGGCCCAGCCTTCTCCATCGCCGCCTGGCCGCCCTCCCTCCTCCTCCTCCTCCTCCTCCTCCTCCTCCTCCTCCTCCTCCTCCTCCTCCTCCTCCTCCTCTGCGTCCTCCTCGTCTTCGGCGTCCTCGCCGCCCTCCTCCAACTTCTCCTTCCTGACGCTGCTCGGAACTTCCTCCTCCTCCTCCCCTCCTCCTCCTCGCCTTCCCCCATGCCATACTCCTCGCGACCCCCGTCCGACCTCCGCCTCGCCCCCCTCCTCGTCCCCCTCCTCGCCCCCCGTCGTGATCCTCCCCGCCCTCCGCTCCCTCCTCCTCGCCTTCGTCCACCTCCTCTGCGCCCTCCTTGTCCTCTGCGCCCGCGCCCTCTTCCTCCTCCTCCTCCTCCGTCTCATTCTCGTCCTCGCCGTCCCTGAGATCCGACATTGCGCAGAAATCGCGACATCGTGAAAAATCATGACCGGAGCCCCAGACCTGAGAGGCAACGATCGGGGGGCCTGGCATAGGGGGCAAACATCGACCTGGAATCGACGATACATCGCCGATAGATGGGCGATAGGCTCCCAATCACAAATTCGTACCTTTCTGGGCGGGTTGGCACAATCGGGCCCCTAACGGCGATCAATGGGCGATTGGGAGTCGATGTATGCCCCCCTGTGCCTATCCCCCCCTACCTTAGCATGACGGAAACGGGCCCTGAGGGAAACGGGTCCAGGACCCTGGGGCCTTCCCCATAGAATTAGGTCGGGCGTGTCCCCTACAGGCGGATTCGGGACACAAAATAAGAAATAGTCAAAACATATCCAAAAATAATCACAAAACGAATGCTCGAAAATTCGTCCCCAGACTATTGTTTGAATCTTCCTCCTGTAGAGGGACATGCCCGACTTAACCCTAGGACGAATTCTTCCTCCTGGATCGTTTTCTGAGAGTCTTGGGGCCCGTGTGGAGGCTCCCGAGAGAGCCCGAAAACGGTGAAAAACCTCAGGATCCCTTTCCCTCGGGACCCGCTTCCCCCCTGGCGACGATCGTTAAGTCGGGCATGTCCCCCTCCAGGCGGATTCTGGGTGAAAAAATACTCCCAAAATGTAAAACAACAAAAAAATGGTAGAAACATCGTCCCCGGACGATTTTTGATATTCTTGGAACATTTCCCCTGTAGAAGGACAGGCCCGACTTAACGCTGCTCCCGCAGAAACCACCTTTCTGCACGCAATCTTGGCACACAGCCCTGGGCCCCGGTTATGCGCGGGCTCTGCCGAGCTCCGCCGCCGTCATCGCCGTTTGCCCGCAGATCTGGGAGTGTAAGACAAAGCCAGGACGAGGACAACATCGGGTGAAATCGAACATCTCTGAGATCAGGCGGGTCTGGAAGATGTCTCGGGTGCCGCGGCCTTGTCAGAGCGTTCCGGAACGCTCTGAGAGCATTCCAGAACGCCCTGGATCGGATTTATCCTCGTCCTGGCCCCGCCGGAGCGTGGAAGTTCCTTCACGCCGGGCGTTTTCGGCGGCTCGTCAAGCAAGCAACAAGCAACTGCGCCTCGCCGAGGGCGTTCGGGGGGGGCCCGGATGGTCGCGAACGGCCGCTGGCGAGCCGAGCGATGACCCGGCAGCCCAAGGGCAGGCATCGCCAGGCCCTGAGATCCGCGCGTTGCAAGTTTGTCACACTGGGCGTTGTCGCCCAGCTTCGGGCCCCCAGGGCCTTCCTTCACAGATCGATCCGGCCTGAAAAGATTGGTGCAGAAAGATTGGGTCCAGGGCTCCCGTCGCGACTTTTCGCATACTTGCATGTTTGCTCGCAACGTCGGATCTCAGGATAGATTCCCCTGGCGCCGAAGAACGACGACGACGTTGACGACGTTGACAACGACGACGTTGACGTTGACGTTGACTTTGTTGTTGACGTTGACGTTGACGTTGATGTTGACGTTGACGTTGACGTTGACGACGACGACGACGACGACGACGACGACGACGACGACGACGACGACGACGACGACGACGACGACCCGCGCCAGGGGATGGGGGCCACGGGCGTTGGGTTTGTCGATGATCCTCAGAATGTGTGTTGACGCAAACGTGTGCTTGTCTACAAGCGCAGGCGGCGAAGCTACTGAGGGCCGACGCGGGCCGTGTGCTGTCGATGGAGCTGAGCGGAGCAAACACAAATTGGGCTAACACACGTCCTGAGGATCATTCACTGCACCGACCTTGCAGACGTGCTGCAGCGGATTTTGGAGTCGGGAGGAGGCTTGGGAGGCGCACGAAACACGATCGGCTCCAGGCAACCCTCGAGAGCACTAAGCGTTTTTTGTTTTTAGAGTTTGTGCAAGGCCAAGCGTCTCAGACTTGCTACGCTCATGGCCTAAGCCACCGTTGAGGCCAGCGCCCGGCTTGGCATCAGCGTCACAGGCACGAGTAGCCGGGAGTTGCGTAGGCTCAGGCAGCCTGTGGGAAGTCCAGGGCCCACAGGCTCCTCCTCGCTCACCCTCCGCCTCCGCCTCCTCCTCACCCCTGGCACGCGTGTAGACCCCAATGTCAAACGTCTCTGCAAAGCCCCTGTGCGCGATGTTGGCGGCTTGGCATCAAAGTTGGAATCCAAAGCCGGTGGCCAGCAAGGTTTGGCAGAGCGTGGCTGGCCCCGTTTCTGCTTATGCTGCCACGCTTGTGCGTCCAGGTATCGTTTGTGAAGGGATCAGTCGCTGTTTTGTCATTGGGGCCTGCGAATAAATCCGAGCCGTTTCTGCGTGCATGGTCTGAGGTTCTTGATCGACCAAACTAGTGAGGCCTGGCGATGGAGGCAGGTTTAGTGTCTGTCGCTTGTGCCCCGTGCTCGAGACGGGAGGCCGTTGGGAGCCTGTCTTGACTATGCGTGGGCGGACCTCGCCGCGGAGCACGGACGAGAAGGCCTGCCAACCCGCTGATACTGAGCGTGGCCAGCCTGCCTCCGTGCGCATCAGAATCGATGTGGGCGGCGTGAGAACCCATCCGCAGGCCATGCTGCGCCGAGGCAGAGTGTGCCCGCCGGAGCGCAGAGGCGCCCGCCGTCGAGAAGACACAGCGCGGAGTGAGCTTCAGAGGACGCGGAGTACAGTCATCGGCCTGACCTAAGGAACGATAAATAAGGAACGAAGCCCCATTTTTTATCCCACGGAATAACGCATAAGGAACGATAAATAATACATAACGCATAAGGAACTGTAAATAACGCATGTAATCCTAAGGAACGACCGAGCCCCTTTTGAAAAGTAAGTGTTCCTTATTCAAGCCGCTCACTGTAAGTTATTTCTGCAACAAAGACAAAAGGAGTGAATTCGCCCGCCGTCGAGAAGACACAGCGCGGAGTGAGTTTCAGAGGTTATTGTTTATTTGTTATTAGGCAGCATAGAGGACCACTTCGTGAAATATTCACCTGCTCGTGATAAGTACGTATACTACACTCGAGAGCTGACAGGTCACTAGTGCCTCGCTGTCACGCCGCAGAGCGTGATCCCACCATGGGTAGTATGCAGTCCCCCCGTGGACGTAGGGGACGTGGAGTAAGCTATTTCTGCAACAAGGACACGCGGGGTGAAATCACCCCCGACGGCGCAGTATAAGTCGTTCCGCGTTGAGAAACGTGCGGAGGGAGCGTTTGCACGTTCACGCACAGGTGCCACCTAAAAGGCACCTGGGTGTGAGCCGAACCTTACTCCGCCGCCGCGGGACCTCACGCTGAAGGATTCTACGGGGCACGCACTCAGGGGTAGTCAAGACTTTAGGAATGCCATTGTATGTACGATCCGTCGTTGTCGGCAGTCAGTGGGCCCAGTAGCGTTTGCGCGAGCCCAATTTGCTGACAGCCTAGAATGTCAGCTTTGTCAGGGCGAATGCGGCACGCCATACCACAAACGCCTCACATACGCAGGGCTGGTCTCGGAAGGACTCCTCTAGCCCCCTGGACCGCTCCACCGCGCGTTGCCTCATGGTCCCTCGGAGCTTGTCACGTTGCTCGGGCGCAGGTCTATTTTCGTTTCAGGGGGATCCTGCGTTGCACGAGCCCGCTCCTGAGCAGCTCTGCGTGGGGGAACGGAGTCTCCTCATTGGCAGGCCCTGTGTGGATGGTTCGAGGTTTGATCATGATGTGCCCAGTGGTTGCGTTGCCGAGTGGGCTGTGATTGCCATGCGCCCTGGCCCTCCGCCCCCCCCAGAGCCCTCGGTGATGTCCGTGTTGCGGCTGCCTGTGGGGGAAGACCGGAGGGCCCCATCACGTGTGCTGATCCAGCAGAGCCGCTCGCTGTGCCGCCCGTGGTCATCCACTTGCACAATGAGTCTATGGATTCGAGCTTCGCGGCACCTGGCCGTGCTCAGTGATGCCTCCCCAGCCGTGCCCGGGCAGATGTCTGGGAGCTGGCTTCAGAGAATGTTGAGGACTAGGGCTGGTCGGGGCCGCTCTTGGTTGAGTCCGTTGAGCTCAGAGTCCGCCCCAGACCCAGACCCGCGGCGTGCTCTGTCTTCCAGGACCGCTGCTCAGAACCACTTCGCCGACGAGTGGGCGGAACAGAAAAATGCGTGCAGATAGCGCCGCACCGGGTGCGCTTCAACCGTGCCCGCTCCCTGGTGGGTGCGGCCGTGGAGCAGGCGGGACAGGCAGGACTCCCAGCGGCGCTCGGCACTGAGCGCCTGCCCTCCCGCGGCCGCAGGCAGGCCCGCGAGGGGAGGCAGCAGGCGCGACCCCCCTGCTGCCCAGGCCACAACCACCGCCGCCGCCGCTGCAGTGCCACCGCCTCCCCCTCCCCCTCCTCCTCCACAACGTGTGCATGCTAGCCTTGAGTCGGGCATGTCCCCCTGCAGGAGGATTTTGAACGAGAAACGGAAGCTCCTCTCAACATGCTCCCAAAACGGTAAACAAACAATCAGCAAATCGTCCTCTGGCTATTTCCTGATTGTGTTTGAATCAATTTGAATGTTCCCCCTGTAGAGGGGCAGGCCGACTTCATGCCAGCCGATGGTGCCCACTCCCTTCGGATGTGGAGCTCGGTGCACGGAGCTGTGCAGGGGATCGTCCGTGCCGCGTGCGGGACGGTGGCCGCCGCCCAACCTGCGAAGCGTTCCGAGGAGCGTGCCCCGCCAGGAGCTTGACGCCAGAGAGCGTCTGTCTGGTCTGGCCCGTGCCCGGGCCCTGCATCGGCGGTGGACACAAGCCTCCATTTAGCAAGCCTCCCTTCAATGAAAACGGCCCAGGACCGAAACCGACGGACCTGGACCCGCAAAAATGACGGCGGCGACGCCCTCTCGCGAACCAGAAACAGCCAATTCCTTAATCGACGTGTCAGGGTAGAAGGTCTATCAACCTCCGATTGTACGTGGGCAGGCGGGTACATGTCGAGGTCCGGCCCTTCGACCCCGACCAGACCGCCTCGGCTTCCCCGCTGGTGAGCTGACCCACACATCCGGTAAAGCGCTGCAGGGTAGGACGGGAGCCTAGTTGCCTCGCTCTCTCCCTCTCTCCCTCTCTCTTCCCGTGCTTGTGTGTGTGTCGCAGGAAGGAGGAGGAGGACAGGAGGATCACGGGAGGAGGGAGGAGAACATACAGGCGTCAGGGGCAACATCGTCAAGCCAAACAACCACGCCAGCAGCAACGAAAGAGGACGAGGAGGAGGAGGAGGAGGAGGAAGAAGAGGAGGAAGAGGAGAGATGAGGAGAAGAGGACAATGATGAGGACACTCAGCCGCAGTAGGAGCTCATCCAGCCTGGGCCCTAGGCCGATGTACGAATGAACTCCCACGGGGGGGGGGGTAGGGGAGAATCATGGGAGGAGGAGCAAGATGAGGAACACGGGAGGAGGAGGAGGAGGAGGAGAAAGAGAAAGAGAAGGGGGAAGGATAAGAAGGGGGGAACACTAGTTTTTTGTCGTCGTGGCGCTGGTGGTCGCACGGCGCGCTCAAGCCAATAGTTGAACGCAACCTGGCGAATCAGAACACGGAAGGGGGCAGGAAAGGAAGGGGAATGGGGCAGAAGGAAGAGGCGGAGGAGGAGTAGGAGGAGCACGGGAGGAGGAAGAGAAGGAGAGGAGGATGGGGAGGATGAGGAGCACGATAGCAGGAGGAGTAGCACGATGGGAGGAGGACGAGGAGCAGCAGAAGAGAGAGAGGAAGAGGAGGTGGATGAGTGGGAGACGGACAAGGATAATGAACAGGGTGTAGAAGGAGGAGGGGGAGGAGCACGACGGGGAACACGAAGAGATGAAAAGAAAGGACGGGGAGGCGGAGGAGGAGGAGGAGGGCCAATGTAAACCCAAAACGCTCCCACGGTGTTGCAATACACCCTTCATCCTATCTCCATCTTCACAGGTCGCTCCAATACGTTATTTCCATTTCGGGGACTGTCCCTTTGGAAAAAACGTCTGAGACGACTGAATCGTGCAAAAACGCATTTCCTGGGACTTGCGCCGCAATCATTATGACTGCTGCGCCCTGCAAATGCGAAGCCGTGAAATAAAACTGCTCCTGTAACGTCCACACCAGTAATACAAGGTGACTGAGGCGCCCTGACGATCCCAAAGCGTGCAAGGTTACAAGTCCTGGGACTTCAACCATACAAATCCTTGAAACTGCTGCATACTGTTGGGACGAATGCGAGCGGCTCTCAAGCGATAACCGCATGTTTAAAACCACCCGCCCTCCATCCTCGGAACAACTGCGAACCGTTAAAACGAATGCGCGCGGCGCTACGGCGAGAGCCACGCAAGAACCACATTTCGGAAACCACCCGCCCTCCATCCGTGAAGCTGTTGCAAGTCGAGCTTCAGGATCATGTTGAATATGTTACGAATTCCTCGTCATCAACCTGTTCCATGGTGAGGAAGCCTCACGCGAAACGCCCGACCCACACTACCGCAAAGTCTGGGGGGTGCGAAAGGGAAACTTACCTAGAAGGACAAAGGATGGCGCACGAGGGGGAGCACGACGAGAGGAGGAAGAGAAGGAGGAGCACGATCGCATGAGGAGCCTGGAGGCGGTTGGGCGCTGAATGGCTGGGACCCAAGAGAATCGGTCAGGAGGGAGGGATAATGCCAAATCCACTCACAATATGTCCCCAAACCCTCACTGGGCCCATCTGGCGCAATGTTTCGCCCCAGCTCCGTTTTTCGCGCTCCCCGGGCCCGCAAACGGCCCCCGGAGGCCGGGAAAGCAAAAAGCTACTCCTCGAACTCAGAACCTCGAACTTGCCCGCCCGCCCTGATGGCAGGCAGCAAGCATCAACCCAGAAACATCCACTGGCGGCCACCGCAGACCGAGGTAACGTCACCAGATCAGCTGGCGGTTAGTACTGCAACCCAGCAGCTGGGAGACAGGGATGAACTCATCGAGGACAACATTATTGTCCTTAGCGCGCGAGGGATGCTTACCCTCCCGCACTCTACGATACCACTACGCCCTGGACCTCTTCCGGGGCGCGTTCTGACCAGGACTTCGAGGCGAATCCAGCGGTGGCGACGAGGACCACCCAGGAGGCCCGAAAATGCGAAAACGAGGGAAGGACAGAAGTATAAATACCTCTTCCTCTGAGGACCCAGAGATCCGGTGTCGTGATTTTTGTCGATACAGGGTCCCTGGAGGTCTCGACCCCTTCCCGGGGACCGGTTTTTCATCCTGAGTCGTTTTTGACGGTCCTGGGGCCCAGCGAGGGCCCCTAGAGGCCGAAAACTGAGAAAAACCTCCGTCTTGATTTTCTCAATACGTTGGATCTCTGGGTTCCTCTGAGGAGCAACAGGGGAAGGGGAGGCGGGAGGCGGGCCGGGATCCCGGGCAGCAGACCCGGCGCCGGGGGGCCCGCCTCCACCGCGCCCCGGGACACGCGGAGCGCCCGCACCTGCGGGGCGAGGCGGGCACGCCGTCGTCCTCGACGTCGTCGTCCTCCTCGCTGAGGAGGAGGAGGGGGGGGAGGGGGAGGAGGAGGAGGAGGAGGAGGAGGAGGAGGAGGAGGAGGAGGAGGAGGAGGAGGAGGAGGAGGAGGAGGACGAGGAAGACGAGGACGAGGAGGAGGAGGAGGCAAGACGAGGAGGAGGAGGAGGAGGAGGAGGACCAGTGCAAACCCAAGAATCATCAACGATGCTTGGATTAACCCTCTCTCCAGGCGCCCTCTTCATAGGCCCCGTACAACGGTTCATTTCCATTGAGGGAACTGCCCCGTTGGAAGACAACCGTTTGAAGATCCTGAAGCTTGTCAAAACATCGTTCTCAGGATTTCAACGCCACAGATCAACCTGAATGCTGCGTCCTGACGAACTGGGATCGTGCCAGAACGCTGTTTTGGGGACTTCAACACCGCGAATCCACATAACTGTTGCACCCGCATAGTCCAGAATCCTTCAAAAACACCATGTCTGGCACGCTGACCATCGGAACCCGTGAAACTTTGTAAACTTGTATGACGAATGCGCGCGGCGCTAAGGCGAGAGGCACATTTTGAAAAGGAGCCGCCCTCAATCCGTGACACTCTTGCATATGTTGAAAATGAATGTGCGCGGCGCTAAGGCGAGAGCCACATTTTGAAAACCACCTGCCCTCAATACGTCAAATTCTTGCACATGCTTAAAACGAGTGTGCGCGGTGCTAAGGCGAGAGCCACATTTTGAAAACGACCCGCCCTGCATATGTGAAGCTGTTGTCACTTTTCAAGCTTCATAATCATAAGTGATGAAGAAGTCTCAGGCGAAACGCCCGCCCCGCCCTAAAAACTGGCCTCGGGGTGCGGCAAGGAGAAGTTATTCATACGGAAAAGAATGGACGAGGAGGAGGAGGAGGAGGAGGACGAGAGGGAAGAGGAGAAGGAAGACGAGAAGGACGAGGAGGACGAGGGGGAGGGGGATGGGGAGGGGGAGGGGGAGGCGAAGGAAGAGGAGGGGAAGAGGAGGAGGGGGAGGAGGAGGAGGAGGAGGAGGAGGAGGGGAAAGAAGAGGAGGAGGGGGATGACCAGTGCGAGCCCAAGACGCATCAACGATGTTGCAACGATGTGGGCGAGGAGGAGGAGGAAGAGGAGGAGGAGGAATTGGGGGACGAGGAGCAGCGGCAGCCGTCAGGGGCACGACTCAGGCGGCGGGGAAGACGAGAACTGAGGAGGACAACAACGACGACGAGGAAAACGACGACGAGGACGACGAGGAGGAAGACGATGACGACGAGGAAGTCCACGTCCTGCCCCCTCTTCCTCATTTTCCTCCCTCTGTTCCCAACCTTCGTCCTCGTCCCCCACTCCTCGTCATCCTCCCCCTCACCGTCACCCTTACCGTTGTCACCCTGGCTATCCGAGTGACCCCTCCTACTCGTCCAATCTCGAGCGAGGTTGCAACGACTACCTTGCTGACACATGTTTTCGGTGCCTCAACTCCTGCCAGGATGTTACCTGCGCTTGACTCGCAGAAAGGCAAAGTGCTACCGAGAATAGCGTGACGCACCACGCGATGCATCAGAACGCTGACCGGTCTGATGAACGAATACACTTACCAGCCTCGAACGTATCCCTATCCCTAAGATTGACACGCCAAACGGCGATGACAATCTTAGGGATTCGCCCTCAAAAAAAAGGGGATCCCTAAGATTGGCATCGTGATGAGGAGGTGCCCAGCATAGGGAGAGGGATGTTCCAGGCTGGTAATACACCCACGCCGAGGATGCAACGGCGAAGGCGGGCCACGGGGAACGAAGCAGCATGGCTGACGCGGCTACCAGACCGTGATGTAGCGACACAGGGCGACAACATGACCACCCATGAATGCATAATCCAACAGCGTGGGAGACGGGAGGGATACATATGCATATACATATATATATATATAAGGAGAGAGAGAGAGAGAGAGAGAGAGAGAGAGAGAGAGAGAAAGAGAGAGAGAGAGAGAGAAAGAAAGAGATGGAGAGGGAGAGAGATCGGACAAGTAGGCGGACCAGGGTCCGTCCGCGAGGCGCACTGCGGTGCGACAACTCGCAAGCACTATTTGCGGCGGTGCAGCCTTAAGATACGAGGGCGGGCTACAAAACCCCCTCCCCCGGCGCAGTGCGACTGACGCTACAGACGGCGGACAGACGATGAAGATCTCACCTGACAGACCGCGTGAGGTAAAAGGCCCCAACAAGAAAGGCGACGTGCTGGCACGTGGCTAGGCGGCTTGGCGGACCGCCAGTTGGGCGCTTGGCCGCTAAGCGGCGCGCAGTGACGGGGCACCCCCCGCCCCCACGCCCTGACACCGTGGACGCGGAGCCACACGTACACACGGGCAGGCAGAAAGGAGGAGATTAGCGCGGGGCACCAGGTGGAGCGCCGCGGAACGATGACAACATAGCTTGGATGTTGAGTGACGGCACGACACCATCGGGCGAGGTCGTGAGCAGCTCGGCGAAGGCTCGCCCAGCGCTGTGGAGGCGCTGGAGTAGAGGACCTTGACGAGCTTGGGCAGCGGCGAGGTCCGCGGCGAGAGCTAAGCACCTCTGCTGAAGGGCAGCCATAGCCTGTGACAGCTCGGTTTCACGGTCGGTGAGAGGTGGCTGCTCAGTGACATCCGCCGAGGATCTCGAGACAGGGGCGAGGTCCTCGGTACGCCTGTCCAGGTGGGCTAGCGGCGTGCGGGACCCTGAACGCTGACGTCCGTCACCCTTAAAAGGTGACTGGAGGGGCCGGCGCGACCCCAGGGCTGGAGCCGCTAGGGCCGCGCCCCGAGAGGTCAGGGGAGCCGCTTCCTCTCGCTCAGCAACGGAGGAAGCGTGGGTGGGGCACGAGGGCCTGTCTGGTTTAGTACCCTGCGGGGGGGCTGAAGCCGCCCCCGCGGGTCGCTGACGATGGGGAGGCGGAGTGGTATGCGCGGTGGGACCAGTCGTGATGCCGTGCAAGGCCGCTGAGGTCGGTCGCGTAGAGGGTTGGTGACTCGGTGGGGCGGCATGGTCGGCAGCGTGTGGTGTCGGCGGTGCGTCCTCAATGCCACCCAATCCTCGGGGGGCACTCGGGTCGTGGTCGGCGTCTTGGCGGTGACCGATATCATCGTATGTGGGCGTTAACGCTCTTGGGGACGGCGTCGCAGTAGGGTTTGCGAGGTTTCCCGACGGGGCGGGGTTTTCGTTGGCTGGTCCGTCGTCCAAAGCGTCCGATCCCCCACCGAGGCTGAAAAGGTCATCGTCCTGCTCATCAGCGTCTTGAAAAGGAACGGCGTTGTCATGTGGGTGGGCTGACGCACTCAATGGCGGAGTCGGGGGCGCCGTGCGGGTGCCCGCCGGGGCAGGGTTGGCGCTGGCTGACTCGTCGCCCAGGAAGTCCAAACCTCCACCAAAGCCGAACGGGTCGTCCTCCTGTTCGTCGAATAACACCCGTTGGGCCTCGGCCCAGAGCTCGTCGGGGTTTTGTGGGATGTCTGGTCCAGCCGCGGGTGGAGCCTGGTCAGACAGCAGGGGATTTGGTTCCATTTTGTTTAGTTCTGCAGCAGTGAACCCAGCCCTGCGGTGTGGGAGAGGAAGTGTACGATGTCTCCGCTCGTAGATGGCAACGGCGACTCCATGGAGCACGGTCGCTTGGCGGTGTCGTGCTTTGGCAGCTTCAACGATGTCGTCTGGAAGGTTATGAGTACGTGCCGCCGCTGTGGCGAGGGCGTCAGCCTGACGATTGAACTCCTCCGCGATGGGCCCGATGAGCCCGAGGTCGATGCCCGTGTCGCCCTGGTGGCTAGCGACTTTCTCTACGCGGAACATGTTTGGCTTGGCCATGACACATCGGTGGACCTTTTCCCAGAACTCCACGTGCGTGCCCTGCGGAGGTGAGTGTCCGTCGATGATCCTTTGGAAGCCGTCGACCACCGCCTGGTTGTCCACGAAGACGTGTACGGGCCGTTCAGCACATGCCGTGAGGTGGACAATGGCGAGGGTCTCCGCAAGCTGTGCGTTCTGCGTGATGCCGTGAACGCGCGCACTGTAGTTCATGCGGTGGTCGATGCCGTAGTAGACGCCGTAGCCCGCTCTTGCAAGCAAAGGGATGGCTTGGTTGGTGCATGCACCGTCCGTGGCAGCGTAGACCCATGTCCAACCAGTGTCGTGGTCAAGGTAAGTGGTGTAGGAGTCCTGGGCTGAAGCCGCAGGATCTCCCTCAGGCGGGGGCCGCGGTATGGGTTGAGGTAGCGGGTCCCTCGCGAGGTCGGCTTGCAGATCGAGGAGGGCTGGGTCCTCATCGAAGAGCCCGCAATGTCTTGTGTGCGGAGGAAGACGGGCCCACTGCTCGTCACTGATGAGGGTGGTGAGAGGGACTCTTTCACGGGCCCAGCACTTGCAGTCACGCACAGTGTGCTCCTGAGTTTCCTCTTCCTCATCACAGTAACGGCAAATAGGGCTGGGATCAGCGGACGTATTTGATCGAGAACGTCGCTGTTGGGTGTGGTCCCCGCCCGACAGGTAGTTTAAGAGGAGCGCCAGCTGCCATGCGTTGCATTTGGCAGCTCCTTTGGTGCGGGCGAGCCACGTGCTGGCGAAAAGGTCGAGGCCCTGTCTGACCGAAGCTAGGTGTCCAAGGTCATGACGCCGTGGCTTGATTTTTCTCAGAAAGGCTCTGCGTTGCGAGGCGCGCAGCATGTGAAGGAAGGCGTTTTGGGGAAGGTTCAGCCAACTGATCTGACAGCCCCAGTCGTCGTACATGGTGCCAAATGTGGGCCAAGTCCAACGGAGCTGCTGAAGCGTCTGAACAAGTCGTCCAACAGGTCCTCCGCCAAAAAGGGTCTGGACATGGTGTTGGAGATCCCTGACGAGGCCGCAGAGAGTGGCGTCGCGGTTGACCTGTCGCCGCAGGCACAGGAAGACTTCACGCTGCATAATGGCGTCAATCTCCAGGGCGTGCCCTGGGAC